GATTTTCAGTGATCCCAACCTATCCCATCCTATTCTTTGATTAAATACAACTGTGTACATAATAATTGGGAAGAGGAGGGCTTTTCCCAAATTACCTGACTTAGAGGAGGGGCCAACCACTGTGTTAATGTAGATAAATTCATAAATTTTGATGGTCCGACTGACTGACTGAAACCATCTACTCTGAAATGCGTCATTTACGTTACATTCACTACATGATATTCGATAAATTGTATTATTTTTCATAGTAGGATCGATCGATTGATTCCTGAGGTCGACAAAGTCTGTTTCTGGTTAAGTTGATTCGTCTAAATCTTACCCTAATTGGAGCCCTATTCAGAGAGTTACGTAGGGCTTATGATGTTTTATCCCACAGGTGTCAGTGCCATCCACATTTTGAACCCTGTGTTATTTGATTGGGAATGTCTATTAAACATCTATAAGACGCACTAATGAATAATGAATATTCAGGTTCTCAGTGGTCCCTTCTTCATCAGGTTCTACATTTATATGACAGGAATAATGAAAGAAACATTCTTACTGACAGATCTAATGCTGTTTTAAATTACATTTAATCAGTAGTTAGTGTCAGGAAGAGAGAGAGAGAGAGATAATATGCATTAATAAGTACCACACTAGACTGATTAAATGTCAGATAGATTATGGGAAGTAACACATAATTAATTTATGAATTTACAGGTTCAACGGGAGGCCAGAGTAGAAGCAGTGGCTAGATGAACCTGTTCCTTATGCATCCAGAACACAGGTTAATCTAAGCAGATTGCAATGACCTCTGATGTTTGCAGTGTTCGGCATTTAGAGGACGCTGGTAATTTATCTGATACCCGATAGATAATGACAGAGAAAGACCGTTAGCTTTGTGGCCTGTTTAAACGAGATGATTCAATTAAGAGATGTTAACGGTTTCAGAAACACCTTTACTTAATCACACTGGAAGGTATTCCTGAGCATAAAAAATTATGTTCCTAGAGCAAAAGACCGCCAATATAACCAGCTCCACAAGTGCCACTGAATTGTTAGACACAATCAGAGGTGACTAGACTGGGTCACCTACAACTGTGGTTAAATAAAAGCTTTTTTCAAAACCATCAGGAGTTCCGCAATGAATCACCCCCACTCAAACATGCTACAAATATTGCTATTAACAACATTAATATTGCTAATAAAAATATTTCGTCAATAATTATGGTTATATGAATATAGAACTTGATAAAGATGAGGTTATCGAAGAGAGTATATCGTTCACACTAGTCTGTCTTTACAAGTATGAATTGTTGTAATTATGCCAGTAATAAAGGCATAAAATGGACTCACACAAAAAACTTAGACAATCTGGACTTCGCCAGCGATGATATATGTCTGATTTCCCACAAACTGGAAGATATGCAAATAAAAAGCAACAAGTTGGCAGAAGAAGCATCAAAGATAGGAAGGATTTCAGGTAAACATAGAGAAAACAGAGGTGATGAAGATTCCTGGCCAACACCAACACCAATAACAACAAACAACAATCAGCATAAATGGGAGGAACCTGAAAGAAACAACCTCCTTCACCTACCTATCAACCTACCTACCTGGGAAGCATCGTTTCAATAACAGGCGGACGGAACTGATGAGGATATCAAAGGAGCGAGGATCAGAAAAGCAAGACATGCTTTCATTACTCTCAAGTCTGTGTGGAGGTCAACAGCCCCACTCTGCATCAAAAATAACATCCGGATTTTCAACTCCAATGTGAAGTCAGTCAGTGCTACTCACTATACGCATCAGAGACTTGGCCAGTGCGCCATAAAGAGCATCTCAAACAAACTACAGTCCTTCATCAACAGTTGTCTTCGCTCAATACTACTCAAGATCAGATGGCCGGCCGGCCAGAAAAGATCAGCAACTGGGATCTCTGGAAATGAGCGAACCAACCAGAAACCGATTGTGCGATGAATATGCAGGAAGAAATGGAGATGGATTGTCTGGCCATACTCTGAGGAAACCATCAAGTGACATTACTAGACAAGCCATCGCTCGAATGGAACCCGGAAGGGAAGCGGCGAGTTGGTCGTCCCACGGTGGGGTGACTTGGAGGAGGTAATGTGAAGAGGAGATGAAAGTATGTGGGCAGACTTGGAGCGGGGTGAAAACGTTGGCAGAAAACTGAAGGCAATGGAGACGCGCAGCTGAAGTCCTATGTTCCTCTAGGAATTAAAAGAAATAATAATAAATAATGCCAGTAATAACAGAGATTATATCAACAGTGATAATAAATGCCAATAAAAAACACGAATGATAAGAAAAGTACAAATGACTGAGGAAGGTGGCAATAAAATCAATAAATAAATCAATAAATTAAATTGGAATCTGACAAAAATACAAGTTGTATAATACTAAAGATGAATTGTTTGAAAATAATCTGAATTTAAATAAATACGACAAATGTATGACCCAGGTGAGAACTCTCAACTGGTTTACTAGATTGACCTAGTTCAAAGGGAGACAGACAAAGTTAAAACAAACTTCATTTTGAATGCAAAGACTAGGTTAACTGTCCAGTATCACCATAGTTTCGATTAAGGGTAAGCAAAATGAGTTCAAATTCCGTTCAAAAAGTTCAACAGAATGAGAATGATATGAATTCTATTAATAAAATTCGACAAAATTGAGCTCCAAATAAAAAAAATTTTGTTTAATCTTTTCAGAATCATAATTAGAGGTGTTCAGTAAAGCGCCTTTTAAACTGCCTGATTATTCTCTGTAATATAGCCTTCTATATGGAAGCAATTAAGTTCTTAAATATGCACATATGTGACACATAACTGATTGCTTTATGAAAATAGTAAAATCACGAGATAGGTGGATTTGAGTAGCTTTCAAACAATACAAAAAGAAACAGGAGTCAAAAATTAAGGTGATCATAGATTCGAATATGAGCCCACACACTATTTTTTTTCCTTCACGTTCCCAGTGGAACAAGCTAGTGGCTTGAAGTTTCTGTACCAGTGTGTAACTTTACAGGATGGGGTTGGTAGCCTCATGCCCATCCTTTCCTCTTTACCAGCATTATTTCTGGCTTAGTGAGGTAAAGGAATGCGTCTGTGGCTGGGGTTCGAACTCCGGACCATGTGCATGGTCGGCGAGCGTCCTAACTGCTATAACACCAACAAAGTGGTAACACTCTTTACCTTCCCCGAATCTGTATCAACCTCATTCAACAGCAGGCTATACGACAATGCCATGTGTCAAGTGATCCACAAAGGAAAACTTACCAAAGCCTTCCGAGTGAATATAGGAGTAAGACAAGTCAGCCCGCCTATTATCAGCCACGATGATATTCTTAATTGTAGTAAACTGGATTATGCAGAAGACCATTTGTCGTGAGGCAGAGATTAGAGGAAGGAGTACAGTGAAGCGTTAAGAAGACTCTAGAAGAGCTGAACTTTGCAGATGACTTCTGTCTAATGTCACATAAGTCTGTTGACATACAGGGTAAGCCAAAAACAAAGTTAGCAGAAGAAGTAGATGGTGAGGACAGAACTTCAAGTGAACCCAGAGAACACGGAGGTGATGAGGATACCCAGCGACCGACAACAACGGAAGAAATTTGAAAGAGATCACTTCCTTCACTTATCTATGAAGCATAGTTTCCGCCACAAGTGGGGGGGGGTACAGATAAGAGTGTCAAGAACCAGAATCTGAAAGGTAATACAAACCTTCATCACTGTGATATCAGTTTGGAAATCTTTCCCTCCCCCCCCCCGCCCTCGTAATTTTCACACCGATGTCAAGTCAGTCAGTTCTTCTATATAAGTCAGAAAATCAGTGTTCATGTCGCCAGAAGCATTTCTCACAGGCCATGGCAGACGTTTATCAACAAGTGCCTTTGTTGACTCCATAATGAAGATCAGTTAGCCAGCAAGATAAAGTTACCAACAAGAAACTCTGAGAACGAACTCAACCCTTACTCTTACGATTCGTTAACTCTTACATCCTGCCTATTATTCTCTATTGTTCCCCCTTAGTTTTTCCAGGGCTACTGAAGAAAGACTATGTCTTATTACGCAGGATGTTAAAAGTTGTCAACAGGGTAAGCAACGTGCCACTTAATCAGCTTGTTAGTGTTCTGGTCGACAGGCACATGGACTTATGTGAAAAATGGGCTAAATCCATTCTATTTACATAACTCACACCACCCTCTTCATTCAAAACTCTCCCCTTGTATCTCATCAGGCACGACCAGTAACCTATATAGAAAACTATATGCTTGCACTAGTAAGAACAAAAACTCAACTATACCCTGCTTAGCTCGTGTTCTGTGCGATAAAGAAAGCACTAGGCGTCGTTCCAACTCGTATCATTTAAAAGTATAACGTTTTTCTTTCTTTTTTTGTTATGTGCTCCCTTTGTTTCTCTCTTCCTTACAAACTCTATTTAAAACATTCTTCTTTGTTCTTTCACACTCCGTATATTTCGAACCTTTTGTTACTGCTGACGCCAGTAAATATGCTAGTATCTAATTTTCTAACACTTTCAAACATTCTGTTTAATTTTTGGCTTCGCTACCTATATGCTTATATGTTGTTGTCAAAACTAACTGAGATTACCCATTATCTATGTAGAATTTTATGTGTTGTTAATGAACAAACTGGATGTTGAGAATTCTATTCTGTATCACAAGTACTGTTTTTGGAATAAAGGAAATTAATCAAGGACCTATTGTTCAACAAATACTCCAAAGAAGAAAATGCACATAAATTAGACACATACTGAAGAGAATGAGGAACAGGAACAAGTTGGCCATTAATTTAAGAGTGACATGGAGGAGATGACAGCTGATTATTATTATTATGGACAACCTCATAGGCAGACGGCAGCTAATGAGGACCACAATGAGCAGGACAAAAGGGCAGATGTACTGATAAAGGTGAATGAATGTCCCAGTCGAAACTCAAGGGAATAATAAAAATAATAAAAAGTAAACAAAGACTTACCTTTTACGTGGTTTTTTGATTTGCATTTCTATTGAACAGATAGACTGCTGAATTTGTCTTACAATAGATAATGATAATAATAATAATAATGTTGACGATAGCAAATAACGACGATTGTAATCTAATGTTGATTAGACTGACAATGGATAACAAAGTAGCTTGTCTTCACGTCTTTATTTTTCCATATATTTTGTTTTAATTTCTGTCAACTGGTCAATTAGTTAGTTAGTCAGTGAATTGTGTTTTGTCAAACATGAATAGCGAATGTATTTATATATGTATACCTTGATTAGACATGCGCTAATTCACTCGATTCGATGTGATATGATTTGATCTGCTCTGATTTGATTCGATTTGATTGAATTTTTATCCAGGATGAATATTTATTTCTGTATCACTGTTTCACTCGATTTACGTGTGTGTGTTTGTTTGTTGGGGGTGACGGGGGTGGTGTTGGTGTTTTTATCTCTTCTTGTTAATCATTTTTTGTGTTAATCATACACGTACATACTATATCACATTGTGTTTATGGTTATAGTAGCATCACTGGAAAAATCTTAGTTTTCTAAAAAATATAATAAATAAAAAATAAATCAAGAAAGACAAATAAATAAATAAGTTGTTTTGTTTTACACAAAAACATGTAAATAGAGATTTGTGAAATAGCAACAATTGACAGAAAGTAAGTAGTAGGTACTAGTCCCCCCCCACCACTATTACACTACCACCAAACACATGTGAATAACGCTCAGTGGTAGACAATCATCAATGTACATATGTATGAAGAAACAGAGAGATTAATAAATGCAACAACAACAACAACAAATCAAGAGCAACAACAAAAACACCAAAAAGTAGAAATATGATCCATGAAAATTAGAAAAAAGAAGTCATTAGCATTGTATTTATTTGGTGTTGCTATTTGGTATATATATATATATATATATATATATATATATATATATTTATACAGGCTCATAGCATCCTGAGTAAGTGAATTAGAGTGCCAGAGAACCACACAGAGGGAGAGAGAGAGAGAAAAGGACACCTCATTTTTGGAAAGAGTATCAACTATAAAAATTAATAAAAAAAAGACACGCACACATGAATGTCAGCGATAATCTCTTTTTCTCTCTTTCTTTATTTCGTGATCCATTGTCTTTTCATATAAGGTATTAACAGAATATTAGAATAAATAAGGAATTAGAAGTGTTATTAAATCGTCAAGAGATTATTATTATTATTTCATGAGGGTGTAGTAATGAAGTAATCTGAGTTATATTTTAGGGTGTTAACCAGGATAATATAAAATGTTTACAGGGGTGGTAGGGATGGTGTTGGTGGTGAAGAGAACAAAACGTGGATACTATCTCGCTTCGTTGAACGTCGTCTGCGAAATCACTAATTTCTCCTTTCTATTCAATTTCATCACAGATGTGTGTACTAATGGACTTAACCCTAACTCACTTCAGAGACTCAGGGATTGATTTTTTACTAGGGTATAATTCCGTAGACTTAGAATATGCAGATGATATAGTCCTGTCTCTTAGGTGATGACACTGATAAAATGCAGAGTCTTCTGAACACCACCTTGAGCTGTAATCTACGAATGTTTGGCATGCGATTGGCTCCCGCCGAATGTAAGATAAACAGGCCACAGAACTGGACTACATTGATTCGCTTAAAGATAGTCAGGAGTGAGGTGGTAGAGCGCGTTAACCATTTCACTTATTTGGGAAGCTCCATCAGCCAGCCCCAAAGGGTTGATCGCTGACGAAATCTCACTATGGATACAGAAGGCTAGTTTCGCGTATCCCTGCCTGTTTACGACGCCTCTGGCGTAGACGTGATATCTGGCTATCAACCAAGTGGGCGTGTGTACTGATCAGTAGTCCGCTCCGTGCTCCTGTATATCTGTGATACAGGACATGAGAAGGCTAGCCGTCTTCGATCATAGGTGCTTGCTTACTATCTCCTGTGTGAAGTGGTTTCATGGGGTAAGTAATACTGAGGTTAGGCGTCGAGTGCTAGGTAAGAAGGGGAGATCAGCCGACGATGCTGTGGAGCTACATCGACTGACATGGTTAGGACATGTATTACGTATGCCTAGCCGTTGCCTCCCTGGACTGACGGGCAATGTTAGCTGGCTGGCTGGAAAGAGCTAGCGGCAGTCAAACCAAAACATAGCACCAGTCAACGAAATCTACAACAGTCAGTTTAAGCCACGTAAGGAGGTGTAGACATCCTGATGGTGGCCTTCGTGACGGTAAACACCAATGGCTGGAGACAGTTGGTGATATGACTCAAAATCGTTCTCAATGGCTGGTGGAGATATATCCACTCCTTGTGACTTATAGTACCCAATAAAACTATATTGATCTTCGATATTACTACTCTCTTTGCCTCATATCTCTCTTTACTGTCTCTATTTTGCTTTTCTTTTTACTTTCTTCTTCTCTTGCTTTGTGTGCTACATGGAGGGAGTGTGGCGACTCGAACTTCTGCACATCGGTGCAAAGTTCTATGTTGAAACCATTCAGTCAGTCAGTCAGTAAGGTCTCCCTAGCGAGAAGCTGCATGCTGCTTATGTCAGTTTTATAAGAGGAGGGGCGTTCAGTGAAAGAGTTACGCCTATCAGTGATATTGTTCTCAACCTGTACAATCTCATGTATGTGTATATACAGTAAATTTTATTAGCGAGAAAAGGAATATTTCCAAATATGTGTCATCAAAGCTGTAAACGTTTTTAGATGATAACAAATTACGCAATATAGTAAGCGTCAGTCGGAGAGAAATGAAAAAAGAAGACTCTATTTAAATCTGGAATTCAGGGGAGACCTAGCAGCAGATATCTCCTTAAAAGGGGAATCTCCAGTTCCGGGAAGAAGACTTTTCCGGCAGCAACTCTAGAAGGGTGATATCCTCTAGCCACCCACTACTCCAGAGCAACGGGAAGGACAGACTTCCGCATATCACCCCTTAAATGTGCACATTTTGGTTCAACTGCTCTTGCGGAGCTAGATACAAAGGTCATTCTATGCGGGTCTTATCAAAACGTGTTAGATAACATCACCCAGCATGGCTGCAAAGAGGAGGCACTGGTTCAATCAGAAGCTCAATAACTGAACATCTCGTCAATACCTGTCACAGAATCTCACCTGACTCATCATTTAGGGTCATTTACAAAGTAAACAAAAATCTGCCAAAAGCAGTGTGTTTCCGACTTTTTTGTGCTGCGAAAGCTCTCGCCATATGCATCAAAAAGCCGGAGCTATGTGTTCAAAAGAAACTAGTCCAGGCTTTACAACTACTATGGACCTAGTTCGGTATGTTCCCTTATCCTTCAGTTTTTTTGTTGTTGTTTTGTTATCTGTGTGTGTAATTTTCTCTCTTTGCCTTCATTCAATTCATCCTATTTTTTCAGTTAGAAAATTAGTTGTTTTAAGTTTGTTTCCATGGTCCTCCTGATCACACATGTAATCCGTTTAGAATAACCATTTTACAATTATATTCTAATCTTGTGTAATTTTTTTGTTTCTATGCCTCTTGTAACCCACATTCACACCTCCTTACTTACATATCAAGTTAAAAATTTTGATTTCAGTTTCTTTCCATGCTCATTTTGTTCACACCTGTAATTCATTCTATCCCTGCGTTTCCAAGCCTCTTGTAATCCATATCAAGTTGAAAATAATTACCACCTTTTACTCGCCTTTAAAATTATTTCTCCAGTTATCAGACATCAATTTTGCATACGTTGTAACTGTTTTCTAATGTTATGCAATCTTGTCTCTAATCCCCTGGTAATCTATATTCGTACCTTCAAAATTTCATATCAAGTTGAGAATTATTATCACCTTTGTTATTATGTGGAATTAAACAAATAATACTTGTATCTATGTAAACTTATGTATATTCAAATGCGATTGTACAGCTTTTGAGGAGCGTCGGTGGCACAGCGGTTAAGACGATTGCCGACCATGCACATGGTCCAGGGTTCGATCCCCGGCCACCAACGCACTCCTTTACCTCGTCAAGCCAGAAATATTGCTGGTAAAGAGGAAAGGTTGGGCATGAGACAGGCTAGCAACCCCATCCTGTAAAATAAAAAACACTGGTACAGAAACTTCAAGCCACCAGCTTGAGGCCGTATGCTCTTCTGGGAACGGGTAGAAAAAAAAACAGCTTTTGACAATGAAATCACCAAAAAGATATATTTGCTGGCTGAACTTCTTGTTCTTTTCAATCTAATGTTCCAACGGGTATTTTGCACGATTTGAAAAAATAAGTAAACTGAGTGACTTGATGGAATTGATTAGAATTCAATTAAAATTGCATGAGAGAGAAAGTTTAGTTAACAACAACAGCTGTAATCAAGGGGTGAAGGAAGAAAATAAGACAATTACGTACACAAAAATTATATGTCAGGTGTTAAGAGAGATTAGGTCCACTGTTGACCTAGTGACTGGAAAAAAAACTAATTCTTTTATATGCAGAGTTCAGGATTCAGAGTGTGAATTGTAATTGCTATTTTCTTTTCTTTAATTCATGGGAAATTCGCTCACCGGATATAATTTCTTAAAAACCATATACATACATACGATTGTGCAGCTTGATTATGAATACGATGAAAAGAGTCTCTTCTCTGAATCACTTATTTTGATTTCCTAATTTTCATTCCCTCTGCTGTATGAAAGAGTCTGATTCGTGATCTTTTAGCAAGATTCCCCAGGTATTATGTAGATAACTTTGAAGTTGCTTTGCAGCTTAGCTTATTATTATTATATCCTTTAATTTCTAGAGGAACATAGGGCTTCAGCTGCGCGTCTCCATTGCCTACGGTTTTCTGCTAGAGTTTTCACCCCACTTCAAGTCTGCCCACATACTTTCATCTCCTCTTCACATTACCTCCTCCAAGTCACCCCACCGTGGGACGACCAACTCGCCGCTTCCCTTCCGGGTTCCACTCAAGCGACGGCTTGTCTAGTGATATCACTTGATGGTTTCCTCAGAGTATGGCCAGACAATCCATCTCCATTTCTTCCTGCATATTCGTTGCACAATCGGTTCCTGGTTGGTTCGCTCACTGCCAGAGATCCCAGTTGCTGATCTTTTCTGGCCGGCCGGCCATCTGATCTTGAGTAGTATTGGGCGAAGACAACTGTTGATGAAGGTCTGTAGTTTGTTTGAGATGCTCTTTATGACGCACTGGCCAAGTCTCTGATGCGTATAGTGAGCAGCACTGACTGACTTCACATTGGAGTTGAAAATCCGGAAGTTATTTTTGATGCAGAGTGGGGCTGTTGACCTCCACACAGACTTGAGAGTAATGAAAGCTTGTCTTGCTTTTCTGATCCTCGCTCCTTTGATATCCTCATCAGTTCCGTCCGCCTGTTATTGAAACGATGCTTCCCAGGTAGGTAGGTAGGTAGGTAGGTTGATAGGTAGGTGAAGGAGGTTGTTTCTTTCAGGTTCCTCCCATTTATGCTGATTGTTGTCAGCTTATTTCGGTATCTGGATTTAATCATGTGTTCCAGAATAGAGCTGTGAACATGGGGCATCTTC